CTGCCTGGTGTTAGGCTGGGAAAGTGGTGGTGGATCCTGGAACAGAGCGTGGTGTCACGGATCGTATTGAGGAGCTGCATAACAGTGTAGGCACGAGCTGGAAATTTGAGGACAAGAAGGGCAATAGGGGAAACGGTACCTGGGAAATCCGGACAGAGATACTGAGCGTCTCCGAAGGCAAAAGAAAGTTGCTCCGATTTCCTGGGCTGTGGCAACCATTTGACTAGGTGGTTTGAAGAGGCTATAGGGAAGCCTGCAAGATGACAGAGGTAATATATTAAGACTTCAATCGCAGACTGCCTTTTTTCATGGGGATGTCTTTTATGAGCAGAAGAGAAAAAAAAAAAACCAAAACAGAACCCAGCAAAGAAGAAACTAAGATGAAGTTCCACACACTCATCCAAGCTCCTGAATGAACTGTAGTCCTTGAAATAGCCGGATCATCAGGGGATCCTGCAGTCTCCAGCCTCTGAGCTCAAACATGTAACACCTTTTCGGATGCCTTAATTCAAGCCAGAATTAAGTGCAAGGACAAGAGAAGCTGTTGTCCAAGGCTGCCCGGCCCTGAAGAGAGGTCACTGCATTGCTTGCTCAGCATGAGTGTGACTTGCAGCTCCGTTTCAGGATGTTCTGAAGTACGTGTGTGGAGGTTGCAATGGGCTGCAGAAGGAATGTTATTGACTTTTCCACTCCTGGAAGGTGTTTGGTACATGTGCAGTGAATGAGCTGGTGCTGTCTGCAGTGGTGTCTGCAAATCTACTCAGGCTGTGGGGATGTGGGATGTATGATAAGGGATTTTAGTGACCAGTTTTAGGCATCGAACTGGGAATTTCTAGTGGCTGCACCGCTGTGTTCCTGGGAACACAAGCAGCAGCAGGAGCATTGAACTGTCCCAAGTCAGAACGGGTGGGGAATAAATGAGACTGAGTTATTAGATGGCAGTAAGGCAAATCACATTACAGACTTGTCTGTAAGGAGGGAAGCATGGATCCTAAATGAGGCATGTGATTGGATAGACAGGAAGCTAGATGGATAGATAAGGGGAGAGAAAGATTTAAAAATGAGTAGATATACCAATGTCCGCAGAGATGGATGGATAGCTAGCAGTCAGGGGGAGCCAGAGTAGCTAGTCCTTTGCACCCTCTTCTAACCCTGTATGTGATTACAGGCAGGCTTTGCTCTGCTGGTGACAAAAGGTCACAGTATGTCCCCTATCTCAGCCTAAAGTACTTCTCGCTGAGCTCCCAGCTGTTTTCTACTCTCTCACATGCCTTAGGATGGACAGGCACGAGGTTGGCCCAGCAGCAGGAAACACGATTCCTGCGGGTCCAGGGCTGCCCTTGACTGCAAGCAGAAATAGGCTCCAGCTGCTACATCTGTAGATGCTTAACACTGTTTCATGTCATGGTCTAGCTCACACTACAAGGATTTACATCAAGGTTTACTGTTCAAGTAAGCTTCAGAGCACATGGAGGCAAGGCTAGGCTGCCTGAGGCATCTTCCAGAGTCCAGCAATCGAGACCGGAGCTGTCGTTAAGAGTAGACCATTGAGCAAAGACAGAAAGGTCTTGGGGTTTCTGTCACTGGGCTGCTGAGGGACCTTTGGCATGTGCCTTCCCTTCTTTGTGCCTCTTCTTCCTCTAACGGCAGATAAGGCTCATGACTCCTGCATCACAGGGGAAGTGTTTGGAGATCTGTGGGTACAAACAAGTACAGCCAGTGAGCATTCTAAAAGTTTAATAAGCAAGGAGCCTGTTTGACCTTGAGTATTTCTACAAGGGTCCAGGCACAGACCCAAACTTCTGGCTATTCCCATTCAGGATTTTAGATTTCAGAGCCATGGAGAAAAATTTCACTTTCACATCACACACGTTCTTGCTGACAACCATTAAATCAATGCATTGCTGCAAATTAATCCCACCATGGTGCTAATCTTGTCTGTGGAGCAAACCGTAGATGGACAAGATTCTGAGGGCTGTAGGGGTTGGAGATCCCCATACGGTGGTGCTGTTACTACGTTGCTGGCGCACAGACCTCTCCGTGTGTGGGAGCAGCCCAGACTGTTTGTTTAAAATCTCAGCAACTTCAGAGCATCAAAAATGCATTTGACATTTTTTTTGTTATTTTGCTAATTGCTAAGCTCTTTTGGTTGTAAAAGACTCGGAGTGTGGGATCCCTGCCAGCTTCTGCTGCTGATGCCTCGCGCATCTCTGAGTTGTTTGCAGGAAAAAAGGAGTGCATTTTCTTATGCCTACGCTTTGGGGTGAAGTGTGGGGACAGTAGCATGTGCTATGATCACAAAGCAGTTCTGTGCTTGCTTTGCCCTCACAAAACACTTTCTTACCCCCTCACATACCAGGCTTTGCAGTTTTCTGTGGACAGATGTAGCAGAAGGTAGTTTGAAATACAGGCAGAAAACATGACTTTCCTGAGATCACACAACAGCGCAACATCAGACCTCAGATCAGGACCCTCAAGCACCCTAGCTGCTTCCTAGTCTGTGTCCTTTTCCTTCCATCAGGAAAATTACTTAATTGCTCTGGCCTCTATAGGAAACCATAGAATATCGATGGGGAAGAACCCGAGATTTCCAGTCCAGCTGCTGCAGGTAGAAAAGGGTAGACCTGATGGCTGGACACACCAAGCCCCGTATGAGGCCAGCATGTACAATTGCTCCCCATGTGGAGGTGGGTGCACTCAATGCATGGCCACTTATGGTCCCTCCTTTGTCCTTCTTGTCCTCATTTTGAGGCCAGCACTCTTGGGTGGTACTGCTTACCCCACTTTAATACAGCTTAGGGAAGAAAATGCGGCACAGGAGCTCAGTTCATGA